ACGTGAGTCGCACCGCGACGTGACGCGGGTCGCACCGCTCAGGAGAGCAGACTGGCGCGGGCAGGCGGGCAACTTGGGCTGGGGGCCTGGGGCAGCGGGCAGCTCGGGCTGGTGGCCTGGGGCAGCGGGCAAGGGGCAAAGCGGGAATCAAAAATTTTTAAATTAAACGGGTTTTCGGGTTGACCCGGCAACCCGTCGGGTCAACCCGAACCCGACCCGTTTTTGCAAACGGGTCGGTTTTCCGGACCCGAACCCGACCCGCTTCGGGTTCGGGTCAACCCAAACCCGAAAATTCCGGGTCGGGTTCGGGTCGGGTTTTCGGGTCGGGTCCAATATTGACAGGTCTATATTTCCCTCCATACACAAATAGGGTTTAAGTTTTCGTTCCTCCATTAATATATATTTGGGCATATTGCCCTCCATACACAAATAGGGTTTCAATTTTCGTTCCACAATACGATCAGTTCAAAACAACCTTCGTCCTGGCACGAAGGAGTTCGAACATGCAATTTTTCTGAACAATCTCGTATAGTATGATACAACATCGCCTAGTACGATATGTTATCTTCCTTCTGTTCGTATAGAAGGAATACTGGGACGACTAAAAATTGTCTTTGTTCATTGTCTGGTACAATCCACTTCATACCATATGATGTATTAAAAGCTTAAGGTCGTTCGGTACGATGTTTACATCGTATAGTACGATTAGTTCAAAAATAAAGGGATCGTCTGGTAAGATGTTCGGGACAAAAAAAATAGCCTTGACTAATCGTACAGTACGAATCGGGTCGTATAGTGTGATTACCAATCAGTAATTGATCCTTGATTTAATTGATTAATCACGGGAGTTAATTTAAGTAAGTATTTATATATTCGTACTGTATGATTTGGTCGTACAGTACGATCAGTTCAAAATTTACAATTTAAAAACTTATTTAAATTAGTTTGGTGGCTAGGGTTTCAAATTAAAAACACATCGTATAGTATGATAAATCTACAAATAGCTGTTGAGACATAGTAGGTCGTACAGTACGAACTAAATTTGTATAGTACGATATACATAGAATAAATTTTTTTCCTTTGAAAGAGAACTCTCCCCCTGTGTGTGTGCATGGTTGCTCAGTGTGCATATACTTTGTGGCCTGACTCAAGAAAAAAAAAGGGATAAATGAAAATTATAACGATACAGACTTCACATTCTACTCTACCCAGTCTTCAGTCTTCTTGTTGTCTTGAGTAATATGCGATCTCTCTGAAATGTTAGTACTCATAGACAAGAGAAAAATTTAAAATATTCAATGAATAATGAGATAATTTAAATCGACATTATTTGTCATCATCAAAATCT